TCTCTCTCTCTCTCTCTCTCTCTCTCTCTCTCTCTCTCTCTCTCTCTGGAAGTCAGATTCCCACCATCCAGTACCAATTCAGTGGTTCCTTCCCTCTCCCAGGGGGGACAGAGAGAGACAGAGACAGACAGACACACACACATATACACACACACACACACACACAGAGGAGACACACACAGAGAAAAAGATAGATACCTATTTCCCACAGAAAACACCAGGAGCCCCAAAACCTGGGTAGGCGTGGCTGGGGTCATGTGACTGGGTGGGAGTGAAATTGAGTTGGCCATGCCCACTCAGGTTTTGTGGCTCCCGGTGTTTTCTTTTCTGTGGGAAATGGGTCCAAATGGCTCTTTGAGAGTTTAAGGTTGCAGACCCCTGCACTAGACTAACCTGATGTGACAAGAACTATGGAACAAAATATGTAGGAATTATATTTAGGTCAAGAATTTTCAATGTTTTTGTGCAAAGGATTTTGAGAAGCTGGTGAGTCCCTTCTGCAAAAGATGTATTTAAATGCTTAAAATACAATAGTGAAAATGAAGTTGTGAATATTTTTCTCATCTAAATTTTTGGTCCACCAATCAGTCTATGTTATAGTGATGCTGGGACATGGACATTCTTAAATCAACATATGGAAAATATGATAGACATAAACTAGGATTTTTTATAAATTATTAACAGACACTGTAAATTATAGAGAAACAGATAAATTTATAAAATTACATCACTTGTGTATTTTAAGGCAAAACAAATTGTTTTCCATTTAGCTGTGTTTAAAACAGGGATGTCAAACTCAAGGGCCGCAGGCCAGATCCAGCCCCTGTGGTGCTTAAATCTGGCTCGCAGGGCCAGTGTGGAAATAGAACTGGCCCACAATGCCTCTGGCAGCCAAAATGGGGTGGGAGGACACATGCATATCCCCGTGCCCCTTTTTTTGCCTGGACAGCCTCCTGCAGCACTCTGCTGACCAAAACGGGGCACAGGGAGGCCTCACATGCCCCCCCACTTTGGCCCGCAGAGTGCTGCAGGAGGTGTTCTTCCTGTCTCCCTCCCCTTCCCGCCAGCCCATGGGGGAGAACTACAATGTTGATCCTGCCCTTGAAGAAATCCAGGTTGAGACCCCTGGTTTAAAACATCTGAATGGTAATCAATACAAGTAATTTTTGAATTGTACTTCACAACATCGCACAAAGTAAATTCATTTCTGCACATTATATCAAAATGCTAAAAACAATGTAATATTCATGTAAGTCAAATAGGTTCAAAGTTGAAATCAGGCTGCTCACTATATTCTCACTTTGAAACCAAATATAATTCAAATAATCCTTCAAATAAAAATTGTCCTGAAAGCCAATCCATTTCAGTTTCTCCCGAATTCCGTTCTCCTTGTACTCCAATTTCCTTTGATTTACAAATTTCCTCAAATGAACAGCTGCTATACTGCCACCCAAGTATTGTAGGGTCAGAGCACAAATACAACATTGCATACACTGAATCACCAAACTTGTATATAAGATTCATGATTAAAGACTGTTGCATAACTAGCACAATACTGAAAATACAAGTAGCACTAGCTCTAATCCAGGCTTTGCAGGCCTGGGGAAAAGTATGATTGCCTACTTTGGCCAGGGTAGCAGTGAACTTGCAAAAGCATGCAGCTGGAAGGACAAGATTTAGGAATTCAATATTTAATAATTTAATATTTAATAAAATTTAATAACGAACAGGCCTATGAAATAAGTTTCAAGATGTACAGTGCTGACTAAATAAAGGAATATTTGTTTTTACTTTCAGTTTACTCTCTGGACAAGAGACCTATGGAGAACATAGAAGCAGTTTTTGATGTATAAGAAGATCTGGGAGCTTTCCGCACTCTTTGTAGCAGAGAAAAATACCATTTATTGAGCTTGTTTTCCTGCAGCAGGTTCCAAACCATCTTGATTTCCCAAACTAATATTCTACTCATTCAGTAGACCCTACCCAAGCTATATGCCGTTGCTCCACTGCCTTGTCTCCAGCCCCTACCCAACATTGATGACGTCACACACAACAGAGAGGGAGTATCCTAGAGATCTTTCTCTCCAGTCAGACTAAAACAAAAATTCTCAGTTGGGCGGAGGAGAGAAGATGGTAGAACGTACGCGGCACTGTGACTGCACAGGTGCCGTTTGATCACTCACCGAAATCCAGGAACTGCTTGATAGACAGCGGCGACGGGGAAAAGCGAGAGTAGTATTCGATTTGTTTGGGAATGGGGCTTTTTAGAAGCGCCCCACATAGCCGCATGGTTCCTTACTGGAGTTGAGGAAGCGCGTTAGGTTTGCGGATATGCCAGGCCGCCACTACGATGGACGTCGACAGGGCCCTGGTCGAACCTGGCAAGCAACCGTCTGGCGAGGCGCGCGGAGGCTCACGCACATAAACAGCGCGAGGAGTGGGCGGGAAGACGTTCGCAACTGTCACAACGGCTTAATAGGTCCCCACGGCCAGTCGAACGCACTGGAGAGGCACCATCATCAGCAACAGTTGCTGTTGTCGCCGCTCCACTCTCCGTGCCTCATCGTAACTTACAAGAGAAAGCGAGAGGACGTGTTATTCCTCCACCCATCTCTAGCTGCTCATCCCGCCCCGTCGTCGCTGGCTATTGAAGAAACGCCCGCCCTCCACGCGCACCTAATCTTCTGACTGGATAATAAAAAGCCAACATCCACCGGCCCTCATGCTTTTCTGAATGCCCACCCACCTAACGAAGCCCCGCCTACTATAACCATGACACCCAAAAGAAAGCGCAAGCGCAAAAGCAAATGGTAGCGTACTGGGCCTCTAGTGGGATTTGAAGGTGAAAGTGAAGTGTTCGAATGCTCGGAACTGACGTATAAATGAACCCATGTTCTTTTGATTCTTAATTGAAGTTCTTCTCCCGTTTTCTCTGTCTTCAGAAGCCTCTCGTTGGGAAACAAGAGGTACTAAGTTCAACTGTATCCTTAGGAGGAGGAGGAGAAGAATGTACAAGTTAATTGCGAAGTCCATTGAAATATTTGAATTCGTTTAGTAACTTTTATTATCCAAATAAGCAGTGATAATGATTGCAATAATATATATATGTATTCAGCTTTGTTCGGGTATTTTCCCACATCATTATAGTTGTGCTTTTAAAGTTGTAGCAATGTTTTGGCAGAATCTCATCTGCCATCACCAGGCTTCCAGAAGCCTGATGATGGCAGAGGAGATTCTGCAGAAACGTTGCTACAACTTTAAAAGCACAACTATAATGATGTGGGAAAATACCTGAACAAAGCTGAATAACACACACACACACACACACACACACACACACACACACACACGGCATTCAGCTTTGTTCGGGTATTTTCCCACGTCATTGTAGTGTTTCCCACGTCATTTTAAAGTTGTAGCAACATTTCGGCAGAATCTCATCTGCCATCATCAGGCTTCTGGTTGTGTCCGTCTGTGAGTCAGGCCCCCACAGTTGTTTCAGTTTTAAATTTGGGGCAGCCTATTGCTGTGCCAGAATGGTTTTTTCTTCATCCTGATTGTTTGGGAATCTAGGTCTGTGTTTATTGGCCTTGGAGTTTGCTGTGTTCTGCTTGATTGGTGTTTCTAATATCTTCTGTCTGTTTAGTGGCTCTTTTTGTGTCTTGATTGGTTGGCAACATTGTGTTCCTTTATTGGAGGCCTTTTGTGCAGCTTGGCTCCGGGTAAATGGACAGCTATCATTTGTTAGGAAGCTAAGTTTCATCTGGGTGCCTGGTTGGGGTGTGTTTGAGCTGGAGGCATCAGGGGGGATCTGTTTGTGCCCAGGTGTTTGTCTGGCTAGTGGTGTGGAGATTTTTTTGTTTGTGAGTGCAGGCTTCCAAATGATTGACAGTCTGGTGGAATCATCTCTTCTATTCATGCTTTCAGGTCTTTTTTCAATCTCTATGGCTTCTCTGATGATTCTGTGGCTGTGGTTTTCTATAGTGGCTAGGGTTTTGGTGCCATTGTAGTTGATGCTATGACCTGTGGCTTCCATGTGTTGGACTAGTGAGGAAGTGTGTTCCAGCTTTTTGACTGCATTTTTGCGTTCATCCGGGCGGGTACTTATTCTTCTATTGGTCTGTCCAATGTATGTGGCAGGGCATGATGCACAGGGGACTTCGTATATGCCTTGGTTTTCCAGGTCAATTTTATCTTTGGGGTTTCTAAGGATGGCTGCTATTTTTCTATCTGTTTTGAAGGCAGTCTTGATGTGATGTCTGTGTAGTATCTTACTAATTTTGTCTGCAGTACCTTTTGTGTAGGGCAGGACAGCTGTTCCATAGGTCTGTTCATCTTCTGGGTCTCTATTATGTCTCAGTGTGTTTTTGTGGATCAAGCCGGTTGTTAGTGTTTGGGGATAAACCCCCTAGCAGAGTGTGCAGCAGCAGT